AAGCCTTCGACCAACTGGACCACCGAATTCTGCTTCACAGGCTCGAAAGCTAAGGAGTTGGTGATCATGTCCTTGGGTGGATCAGGAATTTTTCGCAGGATCGGTAACCGCAGGTCAGAGTCCGAATTGCGATGTCCGATCCAATTTATGTCGGATGTGGAGTTCCACGAGGATCAGTTCTGGGATCGCGTCTGTTTCTCGTGTTCATTAACGAGCTTACGCGCTTGAGTACTTCAGATGTCTTGCTGTTCGCTAATGTGTTTAAGATGCGGTGGACGACCGTCAACTCAGGAGGTCACAATGCAGTTCATCGAGACCTGGACAGATCTTATGAGTGCTTACTCCAAAATCTGCTCCAGTTGGACTCGGGGAAGTGTAAATTGGTGCACATTCACCACCAACCGAACATTACCTACAAGCTTGGATATCGTGTGCTGCATGCAGTCACAAAGGAGCGCGACCATGGTGTACTAGTTAAGGCTGATCTGGGCTGCTCAGAACAATCTGAGAAAGCCTTAAAGAATAGGAATCAACATGTTAGCATGCTGCGGAAGGCATTTGGGCGGTTTGCGCCCTCTGTCTGTTCTCAGTTGCTTAAGACTTATGTGCGGCCTCATGTGGAATACGCGATCCAGTTGTAGCAGCCCTGGCACAAGCAAGAGCTTGCAGCGCTCGAGACTCCACAGCGACCAGCCAAGAAGCACGTCAAATGGTTGTTCAATCTTCCTTATCAACTTAGACTGAGGACCCTAAAATAATACAGCGGCCAGTACCGGTGTCTACGTGGCGACCTCATTTTGCGACCTTATATTCAAAGGAACCACAACCACGTCTGCCGCCATTTACTACAACTGAGCCACAACATGAATTTAAAGGGGCCACCGCTACAAGTTAGTTACGTAATGCAGTCGGCTAGAATGTCGACGGAACTTCTACTCTCCTCGTGTGTGTCAACTATGGAACGTCCTCCCAACTTACGTTGTCTCCGCTCTCACTCTACCTGTGTTTAACAAAGGCCTTGAAGTTGCCCTGACCCACCTACATTAGGATACATGGCCTGTGTGTCTCGATAGGCGATATAATGCGACGAAAAATGCACAACCAAAAGTAAACTATACGACTGAGTTTGGTTCTTTCTGCATGTCTCTGTGCAAAACTGCAGCCAGTCCACTAACACGATATTCATTTTATCGCTTTTTTCTATTCACCATGTTGGGGTTCTCTTGCTGGCCATCCCACGGGATTTGCTAAGCATCCGCTCTTTCGCCCGTGATATATCTTTATTCCATTGTACATTTTTAGCTCGACTACGGAACGATACTCTGCCAGAGTTTCACCGCCTAGACTACATCGCTCAGTTTACGACCGCTATACAACAGGTCCCGGGAGTGGACAACACCGTCACCGAAGCACTTTCCCGTATTCAAGCGATCTCCGCTGACGTCACTAACGCTGTCGACCTTGCACTCATTGTCGTAGCACAACAATTTGATCCTGAGGTTGGTCTACTAGGCACGTCCCCCGCTCTGAACACACGATCCGTTCCACTGACATCATCAGACGGAACCATACTTTGTGATATAACTCTGGGCACGTCGCACCCAGTCGTCCCACGCGAGTTTCGACAGACCGAGTTTAACATGTTTCACGGTTTGTCTCACCCAAGCTTTCGTGCATCAATTAAACTCATAGCCACACGATTCGTCTGGCGCAATGTTAATCGTGACGTTCGTACTTGGGCAGCTGCTTGACTTCCGTGCATAAGCCCACGAAAAGCCCATTAGACACGTTTCCCACGCCAGACGCACGTTGTCACCCCGTGCACGTCGACCTCGCAGGTCCTCTGACGTCTTCGAATGGTTCGGTAAACTTGCTGACTTGCATCGACCGATTCAACAGGTGGCCAGAGGCTACTTCGATTCCAAACTACTCTTCGGAAACAGTAGCAAAGGCATTTTTAGAACGGTGCGTAGCTCTGTACGGCTGTCCCGCCATCGTAACCACCGATAGAGGGTCATATTCCTCGTCCACATTTGCCACGTTGTTTAACGATTTAGGCCGTCGCCAAGTCCAGACGACGGCGTATCATCCGGCCGCTAACGACATGGTAGAGCGTTTTCACTGCCAATTGAAGGCAGCGCTACGTACGCACACAGAGCCTTCAGGATCTGAAACACTTCCTCTCATCCACCTAGGCTTAAGAGACACTGTTAAAAGCGACTTCAAAGCAACGCCTGCCACGCTGCGTTTGCCTGAAAACTGGTGGAACGAGCCTCGTCTAATTCAACATTTGACTACGGAAGTTAGACTGACCGGTTTGCTCACCAGATGCAAGGGCTGTGTCCGCCCACTCTTCGATCGCAGAAGACACCAGTGTTCGTGTGCGAGAAGCTGTCTACGTGTTAACACATCCTCCAACGTGCAGACGGTGTTAGGCATTCTCTTCAGTCGCCGTACATAGGACCCATCAAAGTGCTACACCGTACGAATAAAGCGTACACTATTGACCGCGGTGGCCTACGCGAAGTCGTCGCCATCGATCGCTTCAAACCAGCTTTCCTCTATGAGGCCGCTGAATATGTGACTACTTCGAACGTTTCGTGTGACGCAGCGATTAATCGCACCACGTTACAAACACGTAGCATTCCTGCATCGAGTACCGATTTAGGTTCACAGTTTAGGGTCGTTTCGACGTCATCGTCTACTGTGAGCCTGTCGTCTCACATGACCAATCACTGTGGTCTGGAGATTCCTAAGACTGTTCGCTTTTCCGATTATGCACAGTGTAAAGACTTTTAAGTTTGTAAATGGTGTAAATATTTGCTCCGTTGTTGGTCGAGTAAAGTTTTGAAAATACGAAAGCTCAAGGCCTTCAGAAACACCTGATCTAAACAATTATCCGAAAAGCAAATGATCTAAACATTTTTGCACTTAGACCATTCGCTCGTTCTTTCTGGCGCATTCTGTGCGAGTTTCTCTGGTTTCTCAACTTTTCATGCTCGAACCGACGTTTGATCTACTGGCCCTCACGAGCAATGTTTCCGAGGATCGCCGCAGTCAACGAGGGGACTAACGACATCGCGTGTGGTTTCTTCGTAGGACCGGAGTCGTTTGGCGAGGGGCGGGATGTGGCTGGGGAAGAGGCCACTCCCAAACGCACCGTTTGGTAGCCGTGGCGGTTGAGGTCCTGTCGGCCTTATTTCTGGGCTGGCCCGCATGTTTTGAAGTCCGATAAGCCCGGTTCAAACACAAACCAAAATGCACCCTGCCCTGCAATCAATAAATCAGAAATAACAAACGGCACATCGGACTCCGATTTCCGACGAACTCATCTTTTTTACGAACGCCCGCTTATTCCACTCGGCATGATTTTGATCAACGAACCTGTCTTCATCCATCATTTTTCCGCATCGAAGGCTTCTTCCGTTCAGCCTTCGAAGCGGCAGCTTTTTGGCACCCCAAAAGACAATCACTATCTTTTATGTGCCATTTCCTTGCTGGCCAATTGTACTATATTATTTCTTGTTTTAGCCTCGCTTACACTAAGGCCATCTTGGCCTACATCAGGTTTGTCACAATTACGTTTGCTGAGTCCGACACTGAGGTTTGCTCCTGGTCGTTTCATCCGTCTTTAGTTTGTTGTAGCATTACACTACAGTCCGCTGTGTCCGACATTTTTGCCATCTGGTATCCGCGCTCGATCACGCGCATCGTAGTAGACTAGTATCTACTGGTCCCACGGTTCGTATCCCATCGGGCTAATATTGCCCTGAACAATTTCGTTATGTTTAGAGAATAGGGTGTGCTCGCCATTGTCTTAAGTTGGCCGAGTGATGGCATCTGATTTGTTAAGCTTACAAGGTACGACTCAGTTTGCCATGTAAGTTGTTTTCTTAATTTACTCTGCCTTGAGTCAGAAGTCCGAGAGTGGTCTACTACGAAGTGCATACTGTGTTTGATTCATCATAATGTTCCTCTTAACTCATGTTTCATTGCTGGCTGAAACAGAGCAACTTCCTTCTCATTGGTTGTAATCCTGGCGGTTAATAATTAACCATTCTGTGTGTTCCCTCTTTGTGTACCATTGGATTGAGTACCGATACCCAGCCAAATAGGAAGATCGGGCCAAGTGTTGGACATGTGTCTAACTATTGCCCCCGGATGAAACATTGTATGAGCGGGTGTGGGGTGACGTTAGTTCCGGTAACACACACATGTCTTAATCTCTCGTGGTCACTGCCAACAAGGCTATTCAGCAGATCGTTTTTTGCGACGTGCATTCTTAATGTGTGTATTAACTAAAGTTCACTGGTTGCCCTGGTTGTTTTGCAACCGTACGTGGAGAGGCATGTGAGCACCGCATCACATGATCCCTCATTAGAAAATGTACGCCAAATCACCAATCACTCCATTTATATCAACGACTGGGACAACGGTCAGTGCAGCCAAAGGTTTGAGTTGGAGCTTTCGGCTGACATCGATTTCAAAGTCTTGAGGTCCATGTTGCTGACATTCCTTATGAGACTTTGGCTCAGATGAAGATAGCCACCTTTGATTTCAGCGTCTGCAAAAGGAGGGCAAAGGAAGACATCAGGTTAACTGGGCCTGCTGACACACAGTGGGTTTTAGCTGCCGATTCGTTGAGGCCTCGACTAACTGCAATAGGCGAGCAATGCTCCGTCTGTGTAACTTTGTAGACCATTTTGCTACATTGCGCAGTACGGTACGTGCCTAGCGGTCGAACTAATGGGCACCTTGGGTGTGAACGTCATAGTTGTCACAATTTGCCACCTTTGGAGGCATGCGTCAAAAATTGGGTCATGTTAGTGCCACAAATAGATAATATGGACATGTAAAAATGTGACCAGATTGCTAAAATGCTTTTGCGTTTAGTGTGCGCAACATTCCGCTTGAACAATCTTCCGTGTGCGCAATCTTCAGTGTACGCAATCTTCCTAGTGATCCATCTTCCGTGTGCGAACTTTACGTGTGCGGCTTCATCATGGAATCGACAAATCTACGTGTGCCAAAAATGAAAAGCGTAATGTTCGATCACATCGTGGTAGGCTACGTGAGGTCAGGAAACATTTGAGAATTCGTGAATTTCAAGTATGAAAAATGAAGTAAAATGGGAGACGTTAAACACACGCAATTGACCGGAGGAAGCGAACCACGACAGCACTTACGGAGCGCGATAGTTGGAAAAGAACGGGAACATCTTTGCATTGGTAAAAGATTGTTTTTGGTTTTCAAGGTATTTTGCGGTTGGTTTTGCATGCTTTTGTTTAGCTAAAACGAAATGTAAAGGCGGAAGTAAGTCACAATCTCGGAAGCGCTAGCCAGTAAACTCTTCTACCGGACCTAGTAGAATATTCCGGTTCTCTTACGTACACAGTGAATTTAGTAGCTGCTTCATGTCACTGAATGGGATGTACCGTCCGGTTTGGTTGGGAGTGGCGGAGCTGATGATCAGTGTTGTCACCTAGCTTATGTCAGATTCGAAAGGAGCGACTTTGAGTCAGGCGACACTCGTAACTTCTTGTTTACGAAGTCGTATATACACTCATAAATATGCATTCACTCTTATGGCAAACATGCTGTTTTTTGTAGATTTTCCATCACTTCTTGTTATTTGATCATGATCATGCCTGTAAATGCGTGCATGGTGTTGTCGAGAATAAACAATGGAGCAAGCCAAACTCATCACGAAGAATAAATTTAGGTGGACACCTACCGAGATTATATGGCCTGCCTAAAGTTCACAAGGGAGGCGCCCCATTGCGCCCGATCTTGGACATGGTGGGTTCTCCTCAGCATTTGTTAACCCAATGGGTGGTAACGAAACTGCGGCCGTTACGAAATTCGGTTGCACTTATTGCACGAGTGACAGGTTCGAATTCATCGAGCGGATATCCGAAATTAATCTTGATAACAAAGGGATGATATTATTTGATGCCCGGTCGCCGTTCACAAACATTCCATTGATCGAGACTGTGGATTACGTATGCGATCTTGCTTGGCAACTGCCCATATATGCAACTTTTTCGGAGAATTCGCTACAGGAGGTACTGTTGCTTGCCTGGTTCACCCAGCCGCGTCACCAGAAAGAACTCACACCGGCTCTTCACACAAACGCTCTGTCCACAAGTCCAAGGCAAAGTACAACTAGCTGGGTGTTTAAAACTCACTCATCTGCTCAATCGATCGCCTGAGCGCCCGCATTAAGACAGGCAAGCTTTCAGCCGCATTACAACCTTTTCTTTTTCTTCGTTGTTTTGGTGTTGCAGGTTCCGTATTGCCTTCCACTGCGACAGAGCTTTCGAACCTGGGCTGCGATCTGAGTTGGCTTATTCGGCTGATGCGGCTTCTCGTCCGAGTGTAAATGCTGTTCACCATATCGTCTTTTCAGCCGCATTTGATGGCTTCCCTTTCTTTTTCGACCCTCAGATGCTCTTTTTTCCGACGTCCTTCAACTCTAGGCATCTGTTTAAACCATATTTCATTTCCAGGCGCTAGAGTATAAGGCTGTCTTGGTTCGGGTTTGTGACGCGTCTTTAGCCGCCGTGAAAGCTTTCGAAGACGGTCTTGCAGAGGATTAGTGGAAATTTTTTCGGGTTGCAAATGTACGGTGGCTCCAGTATCAGCTTGCGGTTGAAACAGTTGTCCTTGAATCGCCAGTTTTGCATTAACACTTCCCTGCTCTTAATGATCCCAATTGTTATTTACTGAACATTTTGCGCTTCTTGTGGATTTACACTATCCAGTGATCTAGCGTTGATCGATCGACAGCAATGGGCGAAACGGTTTAACAGATCTTCACAATAACCACCAACTCTCTCGAGCGTTTCTGAAAGATACGCTTCTTTGTCGTGATCGCAGCGATTCCAGGTGTCTAGTATCCGCATCGCATCATGACCGATGGAGTACCATAACATGGCTAATTGATACGGCCTAGGATATTCATCCAACTCGATCCGTGTCGCGAAGTTCATTCATTTCGCTCTTCACAGGCGTCAGTTTTCGGGCAGTGACCCCTCCGTCATCGGTAATGGAGTCGGAATCGCTACAGACGGCTGCGAGCCAAAGCAAAGCTGCTGATTGCTCATCGGTTTCTTCTTTTCCTCTGTCATCATGTTGCGTGCCTGTTTTCCCCAGCCGCAGGAACAGAAAGAACTCGCACCGCCTCAACACACAAACGCCCTATTCACAAGTCTGAGGCAAAGTACAACTAGCTGGGTGTTTAAAACTCACTCGTACACTCAATCGATCGCCTGATCGTCAGCACTGAGACAGGCGAATCACTTCGACCCAGCTTTTAGCCACATCACAAGTACTACTTAGTTGCACGTTACATGTTCAGTTTATCTTCAATGGTGTGATGTACCGTCAGATTGACGGAGTGGCCATGAGATCTCCTTTGGGGCCACTGCTGGTTGATATTTTCATGGCGAAATTGGAACGTGGCTCACTTACAACGTATATGCGTGGAACCGAAATGTACGTGCGGTATGTTGACGGCACCTTCGTACTTTGTGTTAGCTCTTTACGTCTTCATGTTATTCTGAAATTTCTCCGCAAGAATTCTAGCCCGGCCGAAGAAAAATCAAAAGTCCAACGACCTCGACCACGAAAAACCTGTTAACAAAAACGCCGCCAAATCGCTGTACAAGCACGCTAGACCTACGCCAAATATATAGGGAGCTCAGTGACCTTCGAGTTCTATAAACCGAAGGTTAACCGGTAAAATTACCAGCCTCTGCCAAAACTCCGTCTGCTGGCGATCACGTGAAGAAATGGAAGGTTCCGCCATCTTCGAACTCAATGCACGATCGAAGATAATCAATTAATTGCTAAAATAATGTTTCATTTAGGTATTTAACTTCTCCCGGATACTTTGCAAATCCGAAAAGCATGCGGAACAGTTGCTGAAAGTTTTCAACGACGCACACGAAAATCTCTACTTCAGCTGTGAACACGAATCCGGAAACCGGTTACCTTTCCTGGATGTAGAAGTTATCCGTATTTCGGATGGATCACGCAGTAGAAAGGTACACAGAAAACACACATGGACTGGGCAGTACACTAACTTCCACAGCTCAGTACCTATACAGCATAAAAGGAGTTTAGTCAGATCTCTCGCCTTCAGGGCGCGCAGTATTTGTACACCGGATACCGTCAACGAAGAACCAGGAGAATCAGCGATGCTGTCTTGGAAAATGGTCATTCTGGTAAATTTAGCATGAAGCATTTGAAGGAATGCAATCGGAAGCCACCTAGGAGCATTGCTCCTAAAAAAGAGCTTTTCATACATCTACCATTTAAGGGCGATTCTGTAGCTGATCTGTTATCTCGATGCCTGAAAGATGCAGTTGTGAAAACTTATTTCGCGGCCCGGCTGAGAATTGTTTATCACAACAAGCCGTTGTTCACAGAACTCTTGGAAGATAGACTGCCGTCGTTGACCCGTTCAATGATCCTTTATCAGTACTCGTGCTCCTGTGGCGCACGATAAGTGGGTCGCACAACGAGGCGCCTATCTCAATGGATTCGTGAGCACATCCCGGCATGGTTTTACAAAGGCGAAATGAGGACCTCAGCTCAATCGGTTCACACCTCCTTGAATGTGGCCATACAGCCTCCGAGCATGACGTCAACATCATCCACCCACTACCTGAACAATGCACCCAAGTATTCCGCAAACATCTCTTATCCATCGCCGAGTCTATCTGCATCCACAATCAGAAGCCGGAATTATGTGTACAAAAATGATGCATACGGCTGATACTACTACCTCGGCCAATTGACATGGTTACTTGGTTAGTTGGTTGTTACGTAACCTACTTAATTACTTCGGACTACTGAGCATTGTGTATGTATGTTTATGTGCTGCACTTGGTTTACCATATATATCCCTCTGTCAAGTTACCGATTTTGATCATTCAAACAGCCCAGAAGTCAATCCAAACCCGACTTGACGCTATCCTCACAAGCAGTACCATGTAAGCGTTTGGGTCTGATGATAGTTTACCGAAACGAATTCTTTACCCTGAAGTGAGTTTGTTATTGATTCATATTTATTTAGTTAGTATGTGTGTATGTATGTGTGAAAGTGCATGAAGCGGCGAGAGAGTCCATGGTGCGCTGAGACTTGCGCTAGATAGATCCTGACAGATCGTTGCCCCGCTACTCCCAATGTTGTGCGCGGACTGAAGTCCTGGACGCCTGCTAGCATCAACCGCTGGGTTGAAGTTGACTTACACACTGCTGCTAGCCAAGATGCAGGACACACAATTCCGAATCCGATTCGGCTCCCCAGTGTACGTCTGTAAGTTGGAACTGCATGATGACAAGGGTGGAAAGTGCGTCAAAGCGTTCGCACTAATTATTGACACTAAGGATGCCCTATCTAGCACCATTAGTAACTGCTGTCCTTGGATGTGGAACTCCACAGTGTATGGCGCTGAACGTAGATTGAACTCAGTACTCAGCCATAGCGAATGCAACTCAGGTTCGTTCTTTTCATTCCCATCCACCGCCTTGATTCATTTTGCTCGTGCTTTACTCCATTCCGGTTTCAGCTTGACTGACTGCATACCCGTGCCAAATGACCCACCTTCCCACAACATCGGCACACTGTTTGCTGGTGTCGACATTCCGCTGCGCATTCATGTGGATCACCACACCGGTAGAGTACAAGCAGCTTTACGTCCAACCGCCTTGATAGCTGTGACGTTCTTTTCCCCAACTGCACACTTCCGGATGAAGCTGGTGGACTAAATGCGGCCAGTTGTTGCCTTAGATCCTCCCTCTGAGGAGCAATTGAAAAAAGCCGCCTCCAAATTATGTGCATCGTCAATATATGAAAGGAGTTTTTCCTGAATATCCTGGTCTGATATGCCAGCAGCAGGCATTAAAATAACACTGTTTCTTTGAATTAACTCATTGTATCTGCAGTCAGGAGTAGCCTGGTGTATACAAGCAATGAACTCATTTGCACTTTCTTCCGGGTTCCGGCAGAGTGAAAAAATTACCTGGCTGTAAACACGCTTTGTCGAAAACTTCAGAAAGCACTGAACGTATATAAGGCATTGGTTGCGGTTGCACAGACTTCCTCAATCCCGTGAGCGTCGTAGTATCGTTGCTCTCTGTTACTAAGGAACCATCGAAGTGGTTTCATCTTGTGTGTCTCTGTAAGCAAGACTAGTGGCTTCAAGCTAGGAAGTAATTCCAGATAGCCAGAAAAGGTTTGTCGTCCTCTATTCCAGCTGGCCATGGATGCTTTTTGTAGATCAAGATCAGAACCGCGTGGGTGTGTTCACAATGGACCTGGTAATCCCCGTCGTCAAATGATATGTATTAGTAATGTACGAGAGTGTATACTGTAAAGGATTCAGGACCCTAGGTATCGAAAACAAGTCTGGGCAGAACAATGTATACTCAACAGCGGTAACGATATATCGGAATGTATCCACTGGCGACGCCATGAGCTTGGTGTGTGTGCGTGTGTGTGTAAATGGGTGTGCTTATCAGCCCATATGACAATCCTCCTCCGTATTTCACCTTACCCACTGCTTCCTCTAATCCAGGGCATCACTCGTACGATGTCTCTCCGATGCAATTGCATGATTTCGCTCAAAGCGCTCAACACAGGGTGCTGAACGTATGCACGTTACTCGAACGGAACACGAGTGAGCGTTCGAGCGATCCACAGCGCTTATTGCGATGGTACTCACATGCTACGGGTTCGACTACCGTATTCAACGAGAAAGGACTCGCTGAGCAAGGGAATCTGCATGATGTTGGTGCAGGCTACACTTACGACTGGGTAGGGGACGCCATCTTAGTACCACATGAATATTGGGTTGGATTTGCACCGATCGATTGCCTACATAACCAGCTGGTTGCAGAGTCAATCGGCATCCGCGCACGACTGATGACTCTTCGCCTGGGGCTTGGAAGAGCTATTGTGCCAATTTTATTAGCAAGTATGTTCCCACCATGTGCTATCCTGATGATACAAAAGATCAGGCTCATACTCAGTTGTCTTCCGTGACATGGTCTCTGTCGAGAAGCGACCGGCTATTCCTACTGGGCGATTTCAACTCGTGCGTTGAGCATGATGCCGCGGTGTGAACAGACGTAATTGGTCCTTGTGGATGTAACCCAAACCATGACAGCTTTTCAAGTAGGAAGCGATGATTGACAGGATCAAAGGCCTTACT